CTCTCTCTCTCTCTCTCTCTCTCTCTCTCTCTCTCTCTCTCTCTCTCTCTCTCTCTCTCTCTCTCTGCACGCTGCATAACTGTCTCTCTCTCTCTCTCTCTCTCTCTCTCTGAGAGAGCACACGCCGCATAAGTACAACCAAGGTGAGCGCAGGCCCGCTTGCGTGCGCACGCGCGAGAGAAAGAGAGAGAGAGAGAGGAGGTGGAAGGGAATGCTGGTGGAGGGGCCCCGAGGGGACTGCAGGATCTCTCTTTCTCTCTCCCTCTCACACACACACACACACACACACATGCACACGCACACACACACACAAAATAAAAACACAAACACGCAAACAAAGCAGCAGAAATGAAAAAAAACTCACCTTCAGTTATGTTGGCGAGCTCAAATGCACAGCCCAAGCCTCAGCGTCCAACCTTGTCGATGCAGAGCACTTCCCGATGCACACCCCAATCTCCACCACGACAAAAAGCTTAGGAACAACAACCTCTTTCTGTGCGTGTGTGTGTGTGTGTCTGGAGAGAGAGAGAGAGAGAGAGAGAGAGAGAGAGAGAGAGAGAGAGAGAGAGAGAGAGAGAGAGAGAGAGAGAGAGAGAGAGAGAAATTTCCATGGCATCGAAGTTTCATTTATTCCCTCAGGGCACAATTTGCTAGAGAAAGAAAAACATTCGGGGAAAGAAAAAAAAAAAGAACAAGTACCTGTAATTTACGATTATTCCAAACCAATCAGTAATTTGCGAATGAGGGTGCATGTGTGTGTCTGTGTGTGTGTGTGTGGGTGGGTGGGTTGGGGGGGGGGGGAGTGAGAGGGAGAAAGAGAGAGAGAGAGAGAGAGAGAGAGAGAGAGAGAGAGAGAGAGAGAGAGAGAGAGATGGGACCATTACTCCGAGGGTGTTTTTCTTGAAAGTTGGACATAGTACAAAGAAAGTTGCTGTGAAGTAGTAGAGCTGATGAGCCACTGTCGTTCCTAACCACGAACGGTCCTTGCTATTTGACTTCCTCGAACAAGCTATTACGCGAGGAACGAAATTGTTTCGCTCATACAATATGTATGGCCGTAGATCTGGCTGAGAATCAAACAAGCAACCAATTGCCAGCGCGCATGCAATCTTTTCTATACTACGTAATAATTCGACTCCATTTTCTTTTGTTTCTTCCGTCCTACGCCGCTGCCTACTTTCAGCAGGCGAGGAAAGGTAGGCCGTAGATTGATCAATTTTATGAGTATATATAATAATATAATATGTATATATATCGACAAAAATAGATACACGGATACGGATGTACGAGTGGATAGGCAGAGGTATGTTTTTTTTATATAATAAATATACTTCTTTTTTAAATAAATAAATATATTTTTAATAAATATACTCGTGGCTAGATCCACGACACGAGTATGGAAATAGACACATAGGTAGCCAGAGGTAAACACGTTTGTGGATATTTACGTCTACTTGCGTACAAAATTAGACGGCTATAGTGTACGCATAGCTCATACAGAATGGTCTGTCACAGCCCCTCGTTCGTTGTCTGCTGATGGGCTCAGCCTGCTGATGAGTCTGTGACTGTGACACTCTGACGAAATAGTCTGTCAGAGGCCCTCGTTCGTTGTCTTCTTCTCCCGCTGTCCATGACGTCATGTATGAATACGCATATACGCACATATTCTACTTGTATGCGTCTATGTGTTTACATAGATTGATAGATGTATATGTGTTGTCTTCTGGCTTTTTTTTCGCTTTTGCGCTCTGATATTCATGTGACGATATATAGACAGATAGATTGATATACATAATGATAGATAGATAGATAGATAGATAGGTAGTATATAGACAAATAGATTGATATACATAATGATAGATAGATAGATAAGTAGATAGATAGATAGATAGATAGATAGATAGATAGATAGATTAGATAGATAGATAGGTAGATAGGTAGATAGGTAGATAGATAGATAGAAAGGTAGATAGATAGATAGAAAGGTAGATAGATAGATAGATAGGTAGGTATATATTGTCAGATTGTGAATCAGAGCGCAAAAAAGGGAAAAAAAAAAAGGAAAAGGAAAAAAGGGAAGGGGAAGGAGGTAAGGAAAGCTCCACCTGTTCATAACCTCTTACGTACAAGGCCAGCCACGTGGATGACAGGTTGAGCGCTGGCTGCCCCCATCCCCGTGTGTCACAAGGACCCACTTGC